CTGCGGAGAGGAGCTGCGCGCGCAGCTCCTGCACGCAGGAGAGCTCGGCCCACGCCGCCATCCCGCTCCTCCACACCTGCGTCAGCCCGTCCACGTCGCCGCCGCGCAGCAGCACGCCGAGCTGCTCCGCCGTCAGCGCGCCGCGCTGGCGGCCGTCGGCGTCGAGGTAGTACCACTCGCCCACCGGCGCGGCGGCCGCCGGCGGAGGCTGCGCCAGCGAGAGCAGCGCGCTCGAAGCCTCGGGCACCTCCTCCAGCCTGAGCCAGGCGGGCATGCTCTCGCGCCAGAGCATCGTCTCTCGCGAGATGTGGCCGCTTTGCCACAGCACCCGCAGCTGGGCGATGCTGCACGGGCCGGAGGCGCCGCCGCCGGCCTGCGCCGTGTAGTAAAAGGCGACCGGCTCGACCGCCGGCTCCATCGCAACTACGGAAAAGAATCCGCCGCTCGTGTCACGACGCGGCGACGGCGCTGAGGGGGCGGCGACCGCGGCGCGACGGGAGGCGGTGCAGCTGCGGCGGCTGCCGCCGCCTCGGCTCGAGACGACAGCAGCTGATGGCTAAGCCACCCCTCCCCTGTGTGTGTGTGTGTGTGTGCGACACACACACTCACCCTCCCCTCCCCTCCTCCCCGCCCGCCTGCCCGCCCGCCGCCCCCCGCCCCCTCCCCTCGCTCGCGCACTGGCCACCGCCCGTCGCTGTCTAGCGTACAGGTACTCCCGAGGGTGGAGGGGAAGACGTTGGGCGCGCGCCACTGCGCTCGCCTGTCACGGAGGCCTTTGCAAGGTGGGGAATCTGTGGCCTTCTCCCATCTCGTTGACCACTTTTTTCTTTCTTTTTGGGAGAGAGATTTTTTTGAAAACCAACCAGAAATATCTAGATATCACCACTCTCAGAGTGATTTGGGCTCGGCAGCTTGTCAGCCCTCAGCCGCAGCGGTGGGGCCGGTCCCGCAGCCGAGAGAGCCCGCGTCGATGAATTCGAGGGATTTCCCGTAAATTCGTGGGAGAATACGACTCATCCGCTCGTCGCCCCCAACTGCGAAGTTACGTCCCCGTCTTTGCCCGGCCGCGACAATCGCCGATGAGCCTCTCAGCGCACCACCTCGCCTTCTCTGTCGCCCTCCTGGCCCAGGCCCATCAGTAGCAAGCCTGAGCTGTCCCAGACCGCACTTACCTCGGGTCTGCAAGCTCACACCGGCTCGTGATGGCACGGAGAGGGCTCGAGAATGTCTCCGGTGGACCCCATCCGAGGCGATTGCGAGGATTTCCGGAGGTCATTATCGGCGCCACCGACCGTGAAATGTCCCGATCCACAGCTCTCATGCACCAGGCGCATGGATGCAGTCATAATATGTAGGCCTTCTCTCCGGAAGTTTTGAGCAATAGCCGCAAACAGTACTTTTTGCCACTTCATCGCGACACTTCCAGGTGCCGACAAAGCGGCTTCCCAGCTCACCACCTCGCCTTCTCTGTCGCTCTCCTGGCCCAGGCCCATCAGTAGCAAGCCTAATCTGTCCCAAACCGCACTTATTTTGGGTGATGAAGCCCACTCTGGCTCATACCACGGCTCTGCAGCCTCACACACGCCTATTTCACCCACAGACACCGGCACGCACTCCCACTTCACACACGCTCAAGCACAACCCCATCAAAGCACAGCCCTGCTCAGAATGGGCAAGGGCTACCACTTGGTGACCCTGGTAGCCGCTGGCTCGCCATTGCACTCGGCTCCTCTGCAGCGGTCTCGCGCTCTCGCCACGACAGCACGCCGACGGCAAGCTTTGAGGTCCGTCTGGTCGACCTGCTGTGGCCACAGCCGCCCCTCACATGCAGCTCGCACCATGACTCGACACCGGGCCCGCTCAGCTAGGCCGTGGCGGCGTGTGTGAAGGATGCGCGGCCGAGCTGCTGGCGCTGCTACAGCGGCGCGAGAAGCAGGCAGCGGCACGACACCCGGTCGGTCGAGTCTGGCCGTTCTCTCGACGCCGGCCGGTGAGACTGACGGCCTGTGGCCGGCTGGTGGGCGGAGAGCAGCCAGGAGGACTCCAGAGTAGCCAGCAACATGAAGCAACGGGAGAGCGCACAGCGAGCGCAAACACAGGTCAGAACGGGTTACCATAACCCGACGCTAACCCGACGCTAACCCGGCACTAACCCGTCCTAACGTATGCCCCCGAGCAGCGCGGGTTAGCGCCGGGTTAGTCTCGGGTTAGCGTCGGGTTAGGTTTGGGTTAGAGCTCTACGGCTCGTTCCGCCCCTCTCTCGTGCGTTCACTCACTCGCCACACCACAGCCGCGGGCGCATGGCGAGCGGGACAGTCTCATGCCACAGGATCTATAGTGTACCGCCCTCAGCGCACTCCTCCCTAGGGCCATCACTGGCACACGTTGAGGGCCGGGCCCCCTGCAGCCCGCACTGCCACTGCAGCGGAGGCCATGGGCGCACCGGGAGGTGTGTCGACTGGGCGTCAGGCGCGCACGGAGCAGTGAGGAGGGACGTGCTCTAGTCGACGTACACGGTCCACTTCCAGCACGAGCGATCCTCGTCCCGGACGTACCGGCCGCCCAGGCTTTCGATGTACACCGAGTGCTCGTCCGCGACCTGAGCAGCTTGGCATCCACGGCCTTCTGCAGCCAAGGCTCCATCGCGGAGGTCGGCTCGGGTGCCCGCCGCAGCCGTTTCATCTCGCCAACCAGCTCTAACCCGGGGTGCGCTGCACTAACCCGGCACTAACCCACCCCTAACCCGGCGGGCCGGCGCAGACCCATGCTGACGTATGCCCCCCAGCCGCACGGGTTAGCGCTGGGTTAGTGCCGGGTTAGTGCCGGGTTATGGTAACCCATTCTAACCCGTGCTGACCCGTGCCGGGTTAGTGAGCACTAACCCGCGCTAACCCGCGCTTACCGAAAGACTCACCTTGTGCTTTTGTGGGGCGAGGACGACACGGCTTGGGGGTGGAGGTTCGAGAATGTGCTCTTTGGCACCGGTTACCTAGAGCTAGACACGGGACGAGCATGGTCCCAAGCCTAGATGGTGTCGAGGGGTGTGTCCGGGTGTCATGTTCGAGTTGCTTGGCAAGTGGTGTCGAGGTGTCGAGTTGGTGTCGAGGTTTGGTCTTTGGTGAGTGTCGAGCCCCCCAGTCGACGGATACGGACGAGCATCGTCCTTCTTCTTAAACTGAAGACTCTTCGACGACACCCTTGCTGGGTGCGACAAACCACGGCACCATTGGTGCGCGTTTCTCCTTGCGCAGGACGGTCCATTCGGCCCGGCGTCCCGTGCCCTCCCAAGGCAGAGCCCCCACGCTCACCGCGGGCGTCGATGTCTCACTGCCACCGGCGCCGCCCTCGCCTGCTGGCGCATGCCGCTGCTGAGGCTCCTCTCCGGTGCCTGAATCGTCGATGGCCTCGGAGGTGCCCGCCGGCTTCTCGGTGACGACGATGGTCGCCTGCGTGAAGCCCAGCGGGCACGGGCGCTCGCACATGGCGCGCAGCCCGGCGTCGGCGAGCGCCTCGCGCAGCGGCGGCATGCGCTCGTCGCCCATTAGCAGCACGGCACGGCCGCCAGGGCGCAGCACGCGGACCATCTCCTTGATACATGCGCCGAGCGTGCCGCCCCGCGATGTGTCGAGCTTGTAGCCGAAGCGGCCCTCGCACTCAAACGGCAGGTCGCACAGGATTGCGGCGCACGCACCCGCCGCGAATGGCAGCTGCGAGGCATCGCCGCGCATGAGCGAGAGCCGTGCGGCGATTCGCGGCGGCACCGCTGTGTGATTGGCGATGGCGGCTTCAAGCTGCGCGTCGGCGAGGTCAAAACCGGCGGCGACGCAGAGCGGATGCGCGTCGAGCGCCTCGAGGAGCAGGCTGGCCTTGCCACACATGGGGTCGCACACGAGTCCGCCGGGCGGCAGCTCGCCAAGCGAGCGCACCATCGCCCACGCCACGTGCGGGTCGAGCCCGCCACGCGTGCGGCACTCGATGGAGTCCAAGCGGCGCAGCAGCGCGAGTGAGACGTGCAACCCCTCGTCGTTGAGCGAGACGGTCACCTCGAGCGACGGCGCAGTCAGATCGACGCGCCAGCCAAAGTACGTGTGCAGCGCGCCACCGAGCTCGGTACCCAGCTGTAGGCTGCCGACGCTCTGTTTGAAGCGGCGGCCGCGGCGAGTGGCGACCACGGCGAACGAGAGGCTCGACAGCCCTGGGTGGAGTTGGCAGTGCGCGGCAAGTGCGGCAGGCCAGCCTGGAGCCTCCGCCACGAGCGTCCTGAGCGCCGGGAGAACCGCCGCCTCGTCGTCTGGCAGGCTGGTGGCTGGCAAGCAGCACACCACGGCGTATATGCGCTCGGGAAGCGTGAGCGCCGCCAGCGTCGGAGCCGCTGACGCCGGCGCATCGCACGTCACTCCACGAGACGACGCCTTGCCGTGGCGGACGCTCGCGGCCAACGGCTTCGGGAGGAAGGCCACCAGCTCGGTCGCACACTGGCGGTGAGGTACGTTGTTGGTGGTGAGCATGTACTGCACTGAAGGGTCGTCAGCCGTCGGCTCCATACTCGAGTAGTTGCTGCCTTGCTGGAAGTGAAGAATTTAAACAACACAACTCTCTGCTCGACACAGGTGCGAACTGGCGCGTGCTAGTACTATCACCGGCACACCATTCTACGAATACAAGCCCCTCTCACAGCAGACTGGCACGAACTAGCACGGAAGTGAAGAAAAGCAAAATCCACCATCCGGCCTGCTGGGTGTGAGGCTAATGACTGAACTGAACTCCAAGTGCCCCAAGTGATTTCTTCATCAGTCAGTTGTCAGTATGAGGGCCCAACTTGAGAATCGTGCTTTTTGGGTGAGGTTGTTTCGTTCGTGTTAGGTTGGGTTGTTTGGGTGTGAGGACTGAGGTTGTTCCGAGTGAGGTTAGGTCGTCGGCGCGAAGGGTGAGGTCTCGACCGCCGCCGCTCACGCCAGCGGACGGCCAATGCCGGTGTTTTTGGCTTCGCCACCGTCCAAGGCGTGCGCCATGCACTCGCCGTTATCGAGCGTCCGAGCAAGCCTGTCCGACGAGCGGCTTGAGCGGCCGCACACTGCTCGGTACCCCCCCTGCACACCTAAGCCCATGGCCGAACCCCCCCCCCCCCCCCCCTAGCAGCAGAGCTCTGCCTGTGGAGGGTGCTGGCATCTCTGTGCAGGACAGCAGCTGTAAGTAGCATGCGTTCCAGTGGCGAGAATTTATGGTCTCTCGGCACCAAAATCAGTGGTCTCACCGGCGGGCCCTCCTACTGCCAGCCGGGCGGTGCGGGGCACGCCAGCCTCTCTTCTACGCCTCTCGTGCCTCGCGGCGCCTCTGCTTCAAGGAGGGAAGATACGGCTCTCGCAGCTGTGGCACAGCGGAGAGCACAGCGGGCGGTACAAGTCCATCAGATATGGTTCCCTATCTTCGCATGCTCGTTGTTGGTGATATCGGCGCGAGGTCATACGCCACAGGCCAGCAATCACTCGGCGATGAGACTACTGATTTGGCGCGACGCTCTGACACCGAGTGTTGCTCGACGCTGCGACACCGCCGAGTACCCGCGTGCAGCGCTCAACCTCGCGGAGTACACCTCTCGCTATCATCCCGCTTCGCGGCGGTCGGGCTGCTTGATTTGTCGGAAGGACTCCCACATCTCTGCTGCTGGAGGAGAGCCGGTGTGTGCTTCTTAGCCCCCCCGGCCGTGGATGTGAGGCTAATGACTGCACTCCAAGTGCTCCAAGTGATTTCTTCATTCAGTCAGTTGTCAGTATTGTGATTTGTGAGTACTACTTTAGTAGCTACAGCTACTTTTTATTATTGACTACTTTATTGTAGCAAGAGAGAGTTGTCTTGTTTAAATACTTTATTGTAGCATGCCATCCTAAAAATCACAGCCCGTGATATATAGTACGCCATTCCTGCTTGGAGCGCAGGCGGAGCTGTTCCGGGCATTTGTGCTCTATCACCGCATGGGCCGGTGCGATTCCTTTGCCGCCCTGCCGAACAGCAGCCCATGGGCGCACCCACGCGAGCACCGCCCAGCATCGCAATCGCAGGCCCGACCACGTCCATGAATTCCATGCAGGCACCGGCCTCCTAAGCCGCTTGGGCTGCGGCATCGTTCCACAGATGCGGTCTCTCGGCACGCAATCGAAGGAAGGTGTCAGTGCGAAAATAGCAGCCACCTGCGCACCCCCACACCGCCAGGCCCTCTTCGTCTGGCGGCGTGCCCGACACAGCCGAAGCGTGACGCACGAACGGCCAGTCGAACCTGGGAAATGGCAACCCTCCAACAGCCTCTCTCTCGAGGTTCTCGAGGTGGATATCCTTTGGCCGCTTTGGGTAGCGAGGATTGGTGTGACGCGATCCACGCAGGCGTGTTTTCTGGCGGCGCCGACCGTCAGTGCACGGAGTTGCCCCTTCTCCGACTGCCCCGGCTAGTTCACGAGTTTCGCGGGAGTGACCCCATGCGTCAAACCCGCGACCTAGCGCGGGTGGGTTGGAGGGGGGGCTCGCTGCAAGGAAGGGCGGAGTGAGAGGCCGATCCTCGTTGCGTTCCTCCCCATCGGGCCGCCCCATTGCGTTCCTCCCCATCGGGCCGCATGAGCGGCCACGCCTCGCAGATTCGTTTTCGCGCCTGGGTCAGGCGCGCGGGGCATCCCCCGGGTCGCTCGACCAGCGATCCGAAGAGTGGCCGGCGCCTCTGTCTGAGGGGGGGAGGGGAGCAAGGGGGTGGAGGGGTCGGGGCGGTGGGGAGGGGTCTCGCTTTCATGTGGCTTAGACTTGCCTTTCGGGGAGGGTATGGGCAGGGATCGCTATCGAGGAGTGGTCTTCCCGACCGCGGCCCCCGCCCTTCCCCTCCTCCCTCGTGGCAGCGAGTAGGCAGCGAGAGGAGGTCTCAAGCGCCTATATGAAGGCATGTGAGATGTGATGGGAATGGGTGTCGGGCGGGCGGGCGGGCGGGACGGGCGGGCAAGCGGGGAGAGGCGGGCGGGCGGGGCGGGGCGGGCGGGCGGGGTGATCGGAGAAATCGTATCCACAATCCGCAGCAGCAGAGCAGCAGCAGCAGCAGCAGAGCAGCAGCAGCAGCAGCAGCAGCAGCAGCAGCAGCAGCAGCAGCAGAGCAGCAGCAGCAGCAAGCAGCAGCCTGCCGCAGATTGCTGCCGTTGTCAGCGCCGCGATCCGCCGCCGCGCCGCCGCGCCGCCGCCGCCTGCGCCGCCTGCGCTCGCCGCCGCCTCGCAGACGACACCTCTCGCGCTCGCGTTGTTCAGGTTCTCGAGGTGGATACCCCTCGAAAATTCTCTTTGTTGTAAATTCTCTTTGTTAGTGCCAGACGCGCCAGTCCCGTGCCTAGACCCTATCTAGATAGTCGCACGTGGCAAATTCTCTTTGTTGCGAGGCGGCGGCGGCGGCGGCGGCGCGCGCGCGGCGCGCGCGACGGGGGGACGGAGCAGCGACCGCTGGCGCGGTCGCTGCTCCGTCTGTGCCAGGGACGCGCGCTCTGCGCCGCTGCAGAGCGCGCGCGTCAGGGCAAGGGGCATGCGTGGCGGCGCGGGAAGCGCGGCGGCGGCGGCGAGCCGCCGAGCGCTCCGTGAGCGGTGAGGCGGCCGGGCGAGGGCGCGGCGGGTGACGGGTCAAGGGAGCAGCCCACACCCGGCGTCGCTTTTTGAGCGACGCCTGTGGCACGCCTGCGCAGGGGCCGCAGGGCGGTCAGTTGTGGGGCGAGGCGGTGCCGGCCGCGGGCCGGGTGCAAGGCGCCGGCCTCGGCGCCGCCTCGGCGCGCCGCACCCGTGACGGGTCAAGGGAGCAGCCCACACCCGGCGTCGCTTTTTGAGCGACGCCTGTGGTACGCCTGCGCAGGGGCCGCAGGGCGGTCAGTTGTGGGGCGAGGCGGTGCCGGCCGCGGGCCGGGTGCAAGGCGCCGGCCTCGGCGCCGCCTCGGCGCGCCGCACGGGCGCGGCGAGCCTCTGAGCGGGAGCCGAAGGTTTGCCGTGGTGGGGGAGGGAGGGTGGTGGGGGTGATTCTTTGCCGCAGAGGCCGTCCCTAGCTGTGAACAGCAAAACGGGACAGTATTCTCTTTGTTGCGGAAGGACGAGTCTCTCTGGACTCGCGGCGTCCAGATCGCTCGCATCGCCAGTTCGCCACCAGTGCACAATGGCCACCTGTCCGCATGAGTTTGTCGTCTCGTACGGGCACAGCTGAGACGGGGGACGGCAGGAGCGCGACGTCGCGATTGCTGCCGTCAAGGAGCGCGCGCGGCAGCCATCCTCCTTCCTGCGCGGCACCCCGGGGCCTCACCGTGCCGCCCTCGCCCCCGGGGCCTCACCGTGCCGCCCTCGCCCCGCAGGAAGTGTTCCCGGACGCCGAGGTGAAGGCCGAGGTCTGCAGCAGCTCTCGCGTCAAGATCACGGCGGCCAAGCAGAAGATTGAGGTGGCGAACGTGGCACAGCGCGACCTCTACCGCAAGTACCGCTGGCCCGCGAGGCCAGAGATGATCGAGCGGCTGCAGATGTTCAAGGAGGAGTTTGAGTAGTGCCCGTGAGGCGTGAATGCCGCCTTCTTGGATGCCCGTCCCGCGCCGTGGCAGCTGCAAATGAGTCGGCGCTCTCGCAAAAGCCTTGCCTGGGGCAAGAGGCGCCGAGGAAGAGCAGTCGTGTGCCGCGTGCGCGGGGGTTCGGGACGTGCCAGCAGTGTACAAACATAAGAAATACGAGCCCTTCCTGCGTTTTGCGTGGCACCGCCTGTGTCACACATCGCCTCACGGGCGCCCCGCCGTTGTGTGTCGGGCCACACGCCCACACCCCACAGCCGACAGCCCTCGCCCACAGGCACAGCACAGATCGTCAGCGCACAGGCACAGGCGCACAGCGCCGCGTCGGCGACCCCAGTGGGCAAAACGTGTGGGGCGCACGGTCCGTGTCGCGCCGCGGTGCGGTCAGCTCAAGCAGCACTGGCTGCGGCCTGTCGCCGCTGCACTCGGCCAAACACTTCGAGCATGCTGACGAGCATCTCGAGCGAGAGGTCCCGCCCGGGGCAGAGGCGTCGCCCGGCGGTTCCGACGCCGTTGAACCCGTTGAGCCTCTCCTGGAGGCCGCCCGCGTGCGCAGTCGGGTCAAAAGTGAGGGCGCTGTCGCCGTACACCTCGCTCGAGGCGCTGGTGGACGGGTACGACAGCAGGACGGGGCAGCCCTTTGGGAAGGTCTGGGGCCCGCGGCCGGCGTAGTCTGCGACGCTGAGAGGCGCCGCCAGCTTGCCGACCGTCTCGTACACGGGAAGGTTGACACGCAGCGTCTCGAGCACCTGACGTGTGATCACAGGGAGTGGAAGGCGGGAGTCCGGATCGTGCAGTGTGTGTTCAGAGATACGAGGGCCGCGACCACAGAGCGAGTGCGACTGCAACGCAGTGTCGAGTGCTAGCTGAAGCATATGGCTTCCGCGTCTAGGCCGCGGCACCACGAGCTGCAGCTTTGCGCGGCTGCCGTACGGGAAGGCGAAGCCGGGTGGAGGGCAGAGCGGGTACGCCTCCTCCTCCGCGCTGGCGAGGCGGCCGGTGCGGATGCCTCCAAAGTGGCTCGAGGCGATGGTGCGGCCGAGGGTCTTTGGCCCCTGCAGCGCCGCCATTATCAGCACCGGCACAAGCTGCGCGACGAACTCCTCCTTGGAGACGCGGCGAGGCGAGGCGCCGTTCAGGTCGTCGACGAGCATCTGGGCCGTCCGCCCCTCGCGCTCATCGACCCACCCGTCGGTCGACGACTCTGGCGCAAAGTCGCGGAGCGCGTCGCAGCCTTGCACCAGCTCGTGCAGGCGGCGAAGCTTGTCCCTGTTCAGTCCAAGGAGGGAGACGAGCCGCGAAGGAACCACGTCGTAGATGGTGAAGTAGGACGCGCCCAGATTCACCTTGTCCTGCGCCCACATCGCAAGCTCGTACTCCGGCGTGCCGGCGGCGCCAATGTCCACGCCGAGCATCCCCCAGAAGACCAGCCGCGTCAGGTAGACGTCGATGAAGGCGAGGTCCCTGCCGGACCAGCCCGCGGCAAACTTGGCGGGCGCCCGCTCGTACAGCGACACCGCCGCGGCAAAGCCCGTGGCGAGCTCCGCCTCGGCCCGCCTCGCCACCTCGTTGTCGGGTGCGAGCCTCGCCCGAGCCTCCGCGTTCCAAAAGTAGCGCTGGAACATTGCAATGAAAGTTGCGTGTGCGCCCGTGTTCATCGGGCAGTGGCCCGAGGGCAGAGCGAGCGGGAAGGAGGTGGAGCCGTCCGAGAAGGAGGGCATGTTAGTCAGCGGGTGAGGGCCAAGGTACTCGCCGCGGTCCATCGCGCCCTCGAGCATCGCGTCCATGCGATCGCCGTCGGCGAGGGTCAGCTTGCCCGTGAAGCCAAAATACTTTCCGAACCAGGCCTCTCGCCGCAGGTAGGGCGTCCTCCCGTTGGAGCGAGCAAAGAGACCGTACTCGACATTGACAGTCAGCGGGATGGAGCCGTCGAGGTAGGTCCACCAGCGGAAGACTGCGCCGATGGGGAGGCCGCAGCCGAAGCCGCAGTACCAGGGGCAGCCCGCGCCTCGGCCGGGGTGCTGGAGCGACCAGAGGGCGAGGTCGTTGTGATTTGCAGCCTGCGTCCTCTCCATGCCGAGGTAGCTTGAGAGACCGCAGCAGACGGGCGCGAGGAGGAGGGCGGCGTCCAGAAACGGAGAGGCGACGCAGGGCAGGCAGCATCCGGTCAGCCAGCCGCTCGAAGGTGCGGCGTCCCGAGCCATGACTGCGGGCGAGGGCTCCGCTGGGGCGCCGCTCATGGTCGACAGTGGTGCGCGCTTCCACTCAAAGGTACTGAACGGAAGGACGAGAGTCGACCCTCCTAGCAAAATAGGCGGCAAGCTATTTTTTGTGGCAGGTGTTCCGGTGGCACGGGGAGGTTACCTTGTCAACGACATTGCGCCAGGAATGGCGCCGACGGGGGTGCCGTCGCTGATGGCGTACGCCTGCTAACAGCATACACACAGCTTGCCGGCCGTCGAGCACGGCCACCCACGGCGTGAGCATACCGATATTCCGTGCTGTCGCCATCGGCGCCACCGCCTCCCACGCGTTCGTAGCGGGGTCCCTTCCACAGCATAGACCTTGCCGTCGAGCACCGCCATGCCCATGGTGAAAGTCCTTATCAGCTGGTCGGCCGCCATTCGGACCTCCCGGCCTGCCTGCTGCGGCGGCGCGGCCGGTCGAGGCCGGGCTCGGCCCGGCCCGCGACGGCTGGCCGCCGACGAGCGCGCTCGCGCTGCTCGTCAAAATGGCGGCGGTGGCGATTGCGGCGACGCGGTCGTTCTGCCGTACAGCGCTTAGGCGTCTGTCATCTGTCGTCTGTTGTCGCATTTCGCACACGCGCGCGCCGCGCGACCCGCGTCGCTCCGCGAGGGCATGAGCCTTCCGCGATTCGATCCCGCAGCCAAAAGCTGCTCGCTCGAACCGCGGCCGACTCTACCAGCAGCTGTTGAGCTCTTCAGAAGACTGGTGCCTCATATGCTGCCTCCCTGCGGATGGCCGGCGAGCCTGGCGGACCGCTGTACTACAAGGAAGTGCTGACTTGATTCTACCTCGAATTCTTCTACCCCCACGACTCGGAACGCGAATGTGACAGGACCATCGGGTCCTTTAGCCACCAAAGTGAGATCATCCGAGAGCAGCTGAGCCTGCCTCTGGCCTCGCCTCCCTCTCCTCCAGGCATTCGTGGTATCCTATGGGTCGTCCAGAGTATCGACCTCTGGCGAGTCAGCCAGTCACTTGATGACACCATGAAGTACAGCGATCGCCATCTCGCTGGCCTCTCTGCAGGCCTCCCCGACCGCGTCGAACTCATCGGCGCGGGCTCTCTCGGCTACGGGACCGGCCCCAGCTTCGGCTGAGGGCTGACAAGGCACAAGCTGCCGAGCCCAAATCACTGTGAGAGTCGTGATTTCTGGTTGGTTTTCTAAAATCTCTCTCTCTCCCCATGGTGTGAGCATCCGTGCCGCCGCCATCTGCGTCGCCACCTCCCATACGTTCGTAGCCAAGTCGTACCGCTCCGCCAGGTTGGAAGTTGCGCCGTCAGCCACAGTCTCGCCGCCGACCGCTTACAGCTTGCCATCGAGGACTTCGTGTTTGTCGTGCGTGTTATGACCGCGCAAGATATGAAGGGTGGCTAAGGGCTCTGCCCGCAAGGCGCCCGCGTCGCAGACGCGGTACCATTGACAAATCTGCAATATACCCCCACACGAGCAAATAGCAAAATCCGAATACTGTGCACGAACTGTGCAAGCCTTCAGCTGGTGCCAAGACATCCGTAAAATTGAAGCCAAGAACGTCCGCCAAATCCGTGCTTTCGGAGCAACTGAGGGAAAGCCGCTGATCGAGCCCAGCGTGCCCGCGGCCGCCTCCCGCGCAGCACCGCCGCTGGGGACGACACGCTGCGGAATCGGATCGAGCCCATGCACCGGGCAAAGAAGGACGCTGCAGAAGCGGTTGGAGAGGCAGCCGGCGTCTGCCGTCACAACGAGTCCCAGCGCTGGTTGGACATGCGCGTCGGCTCGCCCGAGGACTGCTATCGCGACCCTCCCGTCGTGCCGCAGCCTCCGACGAGCTCTGCAACCGAGGAGAGTGAGGGTGCGCCTCCCCTCACTGCTGGCCTGGCTGCGCACCGCCCCACAAAGCACCCCCTCGAGCATCTCTACAAGTACAAGTACAAGGAAGGGCGACCTTCTCCAAGTCGTCAACGCGCCCGGCGGCTCCGGCAAGAATTTAGCCTTGGCCACCCTCCTTGCGGAGCAGGAGGAGATCCGCTCTCGGTCGGCAACGTGGCAGCTAGTCGAGGGACTCGGTAGTTGTGTGACCCCCCTGAGTGAGGACCCTAGATGTTAAATACACAGGGTGGGGGTAGCAAATACACAAAATACACTGTGTTTTTTTGGCCTGTGAGCAAATACACAGCAAATACACAGCCAAATACACAGTCAGTGGTGGCGGTGCCGGTGGTTGGCAGACCAGGGAGTCACATGCACAAATGGTCAAGTCCAAATCCGAAATACCAAAAAGCTCAATTACCTGTCTTCAAGTGACCGACTCCCAAGGTCAAATGTTGGTCAAAGCTGCGAAAAATCAATGAAAACTCACGAAATACGGCAAAATTTCCTTCGCCTGCGGCGCGCTGGTAGGATCTAGTGGTCCCCATCGAGTGTGTATCCTGGCTTTGTGGAGCAAATACACGCAAAATACACTGTGTTTTCAGCCCAAGTCCAAATACACAAAATACAGACTTAACATCTAGGGTGAGGACAGGAAGAGAGAGAGCTTTTGTGGTGTTGGTGTACGCAACAACGGGACAGGGTAGTCGTTCTCTCTACACTCTAGCTCCCCTTCTAGCTCTTGGCATGAGCTGCGCCCTGTGTCCCCGACCCCTTTTGGCTTTTGCGCAGCAACACCTTAAACTTTTAGGCCCTCCAAATTCGCAAAACAAATATGGTATTGCTAAAAATCTCTCTCCCAAATTCGGGTCGGAGCGTAGGCCGTAGCGGAGTGGGCCCCGAGTTTGAAAAGGGCGACGGACGCTTGCGTCCTAGCCTCCAACAACGCATCCCCGGCGCAGAGGGGCCCGGAGGGATGCACAACCGACCCACCCCACGCCGCTTGCGGCGGTCCTCTTCCCAGCTCCGCTGAGGCGCGGTATGTTATTTTTTTGAAAAACAGCAGGCGCCTCCGTTTCGTTCACGTGTGTCTCTTCCAGGCTGGCCCGGCCCCAAAACGTGTGTATATGGAGCACACCGTGCACGACGGCGCCGCGTTTGCGCGTGTCTCTCGATCGCGAGAGCGACCGGCGGACGATCAGCAGGCGCTGAATTGGTCGGTGCATGACGGCAGCGCCTTCGCCGCCGCAATCCGGGCTGGCTCAGGCCGCGCCATCAACGACCGCCTGCTCCTGAACGGCGGGTGGCGCAACCGGTGGAGGGAGGATTGGAAGTGCAGCCAGCCGCGCGGGGAGCGGGTTCGGTTCCGGCACTCTGTGTCGGACGCGCCAAAGCGGCCGCCCACGATTGACGAGCTCTCTGGCGACCTCTCCTCGCCTCTCCCCTCGCCCACGATTGAAGAGCTCTCCGCCTCGTCCGTCACGCGCCTCGCCAACTATTCGCTGCACGAGATAATCGGGATTGGGCAGTTTGCGGTGGTGCACCGGGCGACGAACAAGGAGACTTTGCGGCTGGTCGCGCTCAAGCTGACGGTGCGTCCCGTCAAGGTGGAGCGGCACGGCGCCCCGGCCGAGGAGATGGACGTGTCTTGCTTCCGGCACGAGGTCGCGGTGATCAGGAAGACGCCCCTCTACTTGGGGCACGGGCTGGCGGAGGTCGGGGCGGGGGAGGGGCTTATGGATTGTGAATTGGGCCCTGCTGAGTGTGACTGTGTGGTCATAGGTCGGGGCGGGGGAGTGGCGCGGCTTCGTCGTGATGGAGTTCATCGAGGGTGAGAGTTTGTTGCGGCTGCACCGGCGACCCAGCAGACCGCCCCTCGAGCAGGCCGTCCGGCTGATGCGCGACGTCGCCGAGGAGCTCGAGGCGTTGCACCGGAGAGGCATCTTGCACCGCGACCTCAAGGAGACGAACGTCATCGTCTCGCCGACCACCGGAGGGCTGCTCAAGGCGAGGCTAATCGACTTTGGCCTCTCGCTCGACTTTGGGGACGGCGAGACGCTCGCCGAGGCCCGCACCGACCACCAGAGCGAGCTGCGCGTCGGCGTCTTCGGCTACATGCCTCCCGAGGTGTACCGCTGCCAGCCGTACGGCGCCGGGGTCGACACTTTCGCTTTCGGGGTGCTGCTCCGCAAGGCGCTGCAGGCCTCCTCGCCGCTGCCTCCGTCGAAGCGGCTTCGCTCCTGGCTCGACGCGCTGCCCTTCCACGTCGCGGGCTGCCGCTACGAGCGCTCGGTCCGGCAGGCCGTGTCCGCAGCCTGGCCCGCCTGCCTCGCGCAGCTGGTCAAGAGCTGCACGGCGCAAGAGCAAAAGGAGCGGCCCACGATGGAGCAGGTGCGGCGGGCGCTCGACGGTTGGCTCGACCTCTGCGGCAGGGCGTGATTGTTGCGGCAAGGCACAGAGCGGAGTGGCTGCTCGACCGATTCGCGGCGATCTTTCCGATGGGGGAGGCGGCGAGGCGGTCGGCGGCACTTCTCACCACCCTCGCGCGACCGTGCGGGGCGGCATGCGATACGATTCTGATCTTCGCTGTCGTCTGGCGCGTTCTGTCTCTAGTATGCACAGCAGCTCGTGCACAGCTCGCGCAGCCTCGCCGCGCTCTCCGGCTAGAGCCGACTGCTACTCTCACACTCACACAGTAACTCGTACGATCGTTCGATCGTATCAGAAAAAGAGAGGGGGAGATGTGTGTAACAAGATCTCCTCTCGCTCGATCGAGTCTCAACATCTGCTTAACATGAAATAGCCGACGGAACGCCCATCGTCTCACCTGTCCGTATCTCTCCCGAAACGCGAAAGCGCGCCCGGCAGCGGCACTGCTCCCCGCAGTGCGGGCGCATCACAGTGTCCAAAGCAGCACCACAGCACGCAGAAAGGCCCCGCGGCACACACGCTCTTCCCTTCGCGAGCTGGCGGGTCGGAGGGCGGCTGTTATATAGAGGCGGGGGCGGGGGTGCCGCGCCTCGCCGCTTGCGTTGGCCGGCCGGCGCTCCAACCGTTGGAGAGGGGCGTGACAGGGTGTCATCACGCAGCCTCAGCAGCCTCCTCGCTTGCCGCGAGTCCGTCGCTGTTGCTTCGCCACTGGTTGCGCGTGCCTAGGGTGAGTCAGCCTTAGGGATGGGTGCGAGAGCGAGGGGGGTTGCTCCCCCCACTGCTTGCGCGTGCTTGTGAAGGCGGAGAGTAGCTCGACGACAAAGTGTGCCATCACCTGTTCTCGTCAAGCCGCGTGGTGAGAGGGCGCCGTTCACAGCCCACGTGAAGACGTTGCGCCACCGTGGACCAGTCTCGTGCAATCTCGTGGCGGGTCCGATCTCGGCTCGACCGCTGCTCGATCTCGGCTCGATCTCGGCGATCTCTCGCCTTCGCGTGGTGGAGGGCCTCGTATGGGTCCGCCCCCTCCGCCAGCGGCGTGTACAAGTTGGGCGAGAGGACCTGCTCACACCGCAGAGCGTGAAGAGATCTCGGCCGCGATCTCGGCCGGTGCAAGTACGGCGGGAGGACAATCGCGATCGCGTCGAGCGACATCTTGTTCTCCTCGCCGTTGTCGACCACGTCCGACATCAGCTCGAGCAGCCTGCAGGAGGAGGGCTCCGAGAAGGCTCGGGGAAGGCGCCTCGCCTTTGCCACGATCTCGGCTCATCTCGGCTCATCGCTGCCAGAGCGTGATCCCCTTCTGCAGCGGCGGGAAAGCGTCGCTCTGCAGCAGCGCCAGGCACTCTGCGCCCGTGCTGCAGGCCACTCGCCTCTCCGAGGGGACGACGTCAAACAACCGCATCGGCAGCTGCCGGAACCAGCGCTTGATCAGGTTGGCCAGCACGTGTGCCTCCCCCGCCTGAGAGAGGGAACAAGCTGCGCCGTCCAGAGGAGACGAAACCCGATCGGCCGGAGCGCCTCCCGCACCGCCGCAGCCGGCACGGCGAGGGGAGCGTCGCCGAGCTGCCGCTCCGCCTCGGCGCACTTTGCGCCGTCGGGCGCGACCCGGAAGATGCCCTCCTCGGCCAGCCCGCCCGCCTGACGCACAGGGAAGGGTACCGACTCGCGCTTGCACTGGTGGCATGTGTGCAGCGCAGTGTCTAGGAAGTGTCTAGGAAGTGTCTAGGAAGTGTCTAGCCTCGGCGAGCGCGGTCCGCAGCGTCAGCAGCACGGTCGGGATGCTGAAGCCGTGCATCGGGGTCGTCTCCACCAGCTCGACCGGCACGCCTACACGAATCAGCTCCGAGGAGGCGCTCAGACGGGCCCTGTGCAAGGGGCCGTCTCGAACGCCGCGACGGGGTGAGGCCAAAGGAAGGCCGCCACTTCTGCACGTTGAAGGGCGCGCCGACGAGGAGTTCGTCCTTGAGCCGCAAGCCCGGGTCGGCGACGCCCGTCGGCCGCAGCTCCGCGGGCACGTCCGCGTACGAGACTGCGTCGCGCGAGCAGCCCTCGGGCAGCAGCCCCTCCCACGCCTTTGGCAGGCCCGTCAGCCCGCCTGTGAGCGGGTCGTACTTGACGGAGACGTGCTGGGTGAAGTTGCGCGGCGTCCCGGCGGTGGCGGCGACGCCGCTCGCGCTGCCCGGACGCGGCGTCGGCGGTGCCGTGGCCTCCTCGAGCACCGTCTCGATCGGCTTCCACTCGCCTCCGCAAAATACGACGTCCACCTTCCTACTGGCCGCCTCCAGATCGGCGCGACTGCGCAGGCGTACGGCGCTCTTCTCCTCCGAGAGGAAGGCGAACCACAGGGTGTCGGTTGATGCCATCGATCGCGCTCAACAGCGGCTTGCTCGTCCGTCCGCGACGAGCCGAGAAGAAACCGTTTGGGCGTGGTGTCCAGTGTAATGTCCACTAGCTCCGAGTAGAGGGGGCGTCCTGCAGTTAAGGGGAAACCCGGTACGCGGGTCCAACCCTCGGAGAACTGTGTTTACTTTAAGGCCCTTGCCCTGCGAACGCGCACCCCCGGGGCTAGGGCTCTCTAGCCCGTAACCCGATACCGATCATCCGGCCCGCTGGATGCGCTTCTCAGCTCACCGGCCCTGGATGTGAGGTTGCCGACTGCACTCCAAGTGCTCCAAGTGCTCCAACCTTCGAGCGACGCGACAGAGGAAGAAGCGACAAGGGAGAGAACGACGAGAGTGGGACGGACCGCGAGCAGCAGGTGGCACGAAGGTTGAAGCGAGCATCGGAGAGAGACTGCGAAGAGAGATAGGAAGAGGCGGACGCCCAAGGGTGGGCGACGGCTAGCGCACCACACCCCTCTCCTTAAAATCCCTGTGTGGTGGCGGCGTGCCGTCCTCCCATCCCTCCCTTGGGTTGTCCGTTTTCTTTCTTTCTTTCTTTTTTCACGTAGGGGGTCACAATGTGAAGAAAGCGTCGAACTCATCGGCGCGGGCTCTCTCGGCTACGGGACCGGCCCCAGCTTCGGCTGAGGGCTAACAAGCTGCCGAGCCCAAATCACTGTGAGCGTCGTGATTTCTTGTTGGTTAATAAAAATCTCTCTCCCAATGTGACGACCAAAACGATCTTGGGAGCCAGGGCGAGACAACAGGTCGGGGTAAAATAAATAAATTGGCCAAAGTACAGGTTTCGATCCGGGCCACCGCAAATTTTGATCAGCAAATTTCGAAGGGCGGCCGCAAATTTTGAGGTAGATTTTGATTGTCAAAACGTGTCCGTCTTGGCACAGGATAGAGCATATAGGCGGCGAACACCCAGGTGCGCAGGGACATCGCGACTCTGCCCGCTCGCTCGACCCTTTTGCCGCGAGAGAGGGCGCCGGCCGCGTGTAAGAGGTCGGGCTGGCGCCCTGAGCGGCGGCAATTGGTGGCGTGGGGAGTGCGGAGAACGCTACTGGCGGCGCGACAGGGCCTCTCTCGATTGCGTGTGCCGCCCATCGGCACGCGGGTGCGCAGGGACATCGCGACTCTGCCCGCTCGCTCGACCCTTTTGCCGCGAGAGGGCGCCGGCCGCGTGTAAGAGGTGGCTGGCGGCCTGGCGCCCTGAGGCGGCATTTGGTGGGGTCAGCGTGCGATGCTGAGTCTTACCTGTCGGCGCTGCGGCCAGATCCCAGCGCAGAACTCTGCAACGCTGGCATATACAGACACAACAAGACTAACCCTAACCCTAACCCTAACCCTAACCCTGACCCTAACCCTAGGTCAGCGTGCGGGGCTGAGTCTTAGTCGTCGGCGCTGTGGGGCCAGATCCCGGCGCAGAACCCTGCAACGCTGGCATATACAGACACAACAAGACTAACCCTGACCCTAACCCTAACCCTAACCCTAACCCTAACCCTCGCCAAACGCTAACCCTAATAACCCTAACCTAGAACCCACCCCCCAACTCCACACCGCAAATGTGAAAGATCTTGATGAAAATCAGGCCCGACTGCAAATTTCTTCAAAATTTTCGCAGGCGCTCCGCGCCTGCAGATTTTGAAATAAACGATTCGACAAAATTGGTACCTGCAACCTGGCCCAAGGCGTACACGGGGGGTCGCGGCTCACGGCGGGGCGACGTGGGCGGTGCGTGGGGCCGCGCGCTCGCGGGGGTAGGCCACAAGAAGTGACGCAACGGTGCTCCGCTCTCCGCCCCCCCCAAACAAAAAGTGATAAGTCTTAATTAAGTGAAAGTGTGTGTTCGTTGGGTGGGGGGGGGGAAGATTTCATACACGATAATACAGAACCAACTCCATACAGGAACCAACAAGCCAGCAACGCCATAGCAATCACACACTGTGGTCCTGAGTATGCGCCATTTCACGTTACACCCGGGGGGGCCCGGGGCGCTGCACTTCCCCCTCAGGCTTGCTTCACTCACGCGCCATGTCGGCATCTGCACGCTCAGCTTCCCTGCCCCTCTTCGCTGCGCTCCTCCGCGGCGACGGGCGGTGGCTCTTGCGCGCGCTTCCGCTTCCCGCCGGGGCGGGCGGCGGCGGCGGCGGGCGGGGCAGTCGCGGCGGCGGCGCGGCCCTGCACGTACTGCGCGTATGCCAGCGCCGCCTCGAGGACGTCGTTGAAGCGGCCGAGGTCGCGGCGTGAGCCGTTCTGCTCCAGCGCGACGCGGTAGCCGGAGCCGCGTCCGTTGAGCCAGACGCCCGCGTACCCCGTCTTGGAGCCGGGGGCGAGGTGCAGCTGCACCCCCTTGTACTCTGTCTGCAGGCCCTTGCCCGCGCAGCTCGCCACCGCCTCCTCACGCTTCCTGTCCGAGTCCGCACGCTGCGCCTCGGCCGACTTTGCGTCGCACGCCGCCAGCCACTCGCGCGCCGCAGCGGGGCCCGACTCCAAGTGCCGCGCGTAGCACACCTAAATCATACGACTCGGAAGACTCAGTAACCAACTGTCCTCCGCGCACCGCGCCGTAGCTGCACACCGCGGCGTCGACGACACTCGCGAAGCGGCCGATGCGCTTGCCGCCGGCTACCGCCTCAAAGGGGCGTGCCACCTTGCCCGTGGTCCATACGCCCGCGTATCCCGTCGCCGTGCCCGCGGCGAGGTGCAGCCGCAGCCCCTCCGCCTCGGTCACCAGCCCCGCCGCCGGTGCCGCCTCGCGCTGCGAGCCCGGCGTCGCTGCTGGGCGGCGGCGGCCGCCGGCGCGCCGGGCCTCGCACGTTGCCACCCACTTGCTTGCCGCCTCCGCACCGGACGCAGTGTACTTGGCATAGCACACCGCGGCGTCGACAGCCGTCTCGAACCGGCCCAGCCGGTGGGAGCCCGCGGCCGCCTCGTAGCGGAGGTTCTTCTTGCCCGTGTTCCACACGCCCTTGTAGCCCGACTGTGACGTCGGGCAGAGGTGCAGCTCCATCCCCTCGGCCTCCTTCTGGAGAGCAGCCATGGCCCGGGATTGCTCAAAGCTCGGCGCCGACCCGAGAGAGAGAGGACCAGGCAGAAGATCGCTTTTTCTTTTTTCTTCAATTTTCTTAGCGCTCGGACCAATGTTATGAAACAAAAGGCGGACATGGCATATCGCTCTCGGGCCCACAGACATCCCGCACACCCGCCGCCCCCGCGCGCTTCTGACGAGATACCTCGCACTCCATGTGCGAGAACGCAGAGAAAGGACTGGGGGTGGTCCGGCCCACAAGTCCGGCTCATGTCATGCGCGCCGGCTGGACTTTTTCTTTAAATAAAAGAAAAAGCAGCGCGCCGCCGCAGTCTCATCGCCCTTCCGCCCTGCCTGCCTCCACCTGGCATGACGACTGAGCTGCAGGGCATCTGTGCGGAGCTGCACTCGGACCGCGACAACCTGAGCGCGATCGCCGAGTGGTGCGCCGCCGCGTACCGCGAGCCCGGCCGGCCGCGGGCCGAAACGGTGGAGCAGACGCAAGCGTACCTGGTGGACGCGCTGTCGACCGTCGGCCAGCACGTGGGCGCGGCGGGCGCGAGCCTGCTCGCGAGCCTGGACGCGCAGCGACTCGAGCTCGAGTCCACCGACGCCACCATGCGCCTCGTCGAGAGCCGGCTTGCTTACCACCGCGCAAAGCTCGGGCACGACGCCGCCTCGCTCGCGCTCGCCGTGCGACCCCTGACCGCGCGCGCTGGGCCGGCGCTCTCGCCGCTCCCCGAGCCGCCCTCCCGCCACTCCTGCGGCGCCGCTCGCTCCCCGGATGGGAGGATCGACCTCGCCGCACTGAGAGGAGTCGGTGCGCACCCTCTCCGCCACCCTCCCTCCCTCTCCAACCACCCTCCCTCCCTCTACACCTTCCCCTGCCCCCTGCCCCCGCCTCAGGAGAGCTCGGGGAGACAGCTCGAGTGCAGCTGTCCGTGGCGGACGGCTCTCTCGCTTCCGCGGGCTCGGGTGCTGCCACGCCGCGGGTGGGTCGGCCGAGATCAGCCGAGATCACGCGAGAGAGAGCATAGATGCTCTCTCCTCCCCTTTTCGCCTCTCCCCCCCCTCCGCACTTCTCCTCGCCCCGCCTCCTCCTCTCCCGCACACTCCCCGCGGGTGGCGGGCGCCGCACTGCCTGCGCATCACCCACCGCCGCGCACCCCGCACGTGTGCACGCCACCTCCCGTGACTCATCCCAGCACCTCCTCCGCCCCCTCAGGTCCTGCTTCAGACGGACGGAGCGCCGCCGCCGCCGCCGCCGCTCGGGGCGCCGCCGCCGCCCGCGACCTGGAAGCCCCCGCCCCCGCCCGGCGCCCCGCCAGGCGCCCCGCCTGGTGCGCCGTCGGCCGGGCCGGGTGCCCCGCCGCTGCCGCTCGGCCTGTCCTCCCGAAAGCCACCACCGCCGCCGCTGTCCTCCCGCCGACCCTAGCCGCTTCATCTCAGCTACACACAGGTCTATGTACATGGCAGCCAAAATCTGGGCCGGCGGGGGGTACGCAGTCTCGCGCGCTCAAGTGCGACACATTATGAATCTCTCTTTTTTCTCTTACCTCGTTGCAGTGCTCGAACTTTACCGGTATGGGAGTTTTTGGCTAATCAAACTATAGGCCTGCACTAATCAAAAAGTGGTATGGGATACCACCTCCCCACCTGCCTCACGCCTCACGGAAACCAAGAAGCGAGTCCGAGTGCATTTTTGCGGCTAAATCGGCGAAATCGGCAAAATACCCGGTATTTTGCGGGTATGTATGTATCTAAGGAATCAAGTCAACTTTGATGGGGGCAGCCAAATTTGGTCGACCGCAAATCGTGGAGTTGGGAGTCACGCTCGGGCAGACAGCACTGAGCCCTGGTGTCGAGGTGTCGAGGCCCGGTGTCGAGGGTGTCGAGCTGCTGTCGAGGGATAGAGGTGTCGAGGCCTGTCGAGGCCTGTCGAGGCCTGTCGAGGCCTGTCGAGGCCTGTCGAGGCTGAAACCATGCTTGTCCGTGTCGAGGAGTGTCGAGGGGTGTCGAGGGGTGTCGAGGGTGTCGAGGGTGTCGAGGGTGTCGAGGGTGTCGAGCGGGTGTCGAGCGGGTGTCGAGCGTTGTCAAGAGGCGTCTGAGGTATCGAGGTGTCCAAGGTGGCAGGTGGATGCAGTTGCAGCCCATCAACATACAACAAAAGTTGGGCAGCAGTTGCAAAGCTGTTTCATCCCTTAGTTGCAGCCTCAGTTGCACCCTGTTGATGTAGCACAACCTGAGCACAACCAGTATACTCTCTGTGGACATTTGAGGACATCAAGTGCCGGGAGTCATTGCCACTGTGCACCAAGGTGCTGTGCAGGCGCAGCACCGCAGCAGCGTCGCTGCAGCGTCGCTGCTGCAGCGTCACCGGCGCACAAAGCGCAACTGACCACAGCGCTCATGGCACAAGGCTGGTGCCATGAGAGCATGAGTCAGTGGACATTGCCACTGCACAAGGTGCTGTCCAGCAGCTAAGGGCTACAGTACCCCATCGCAGCAGCGTCGCCGCCGCTGCAGCGTCGCCGTTGCAGCGTCGCCAGTGCACAAAGCGCAATGGACCACAGGTCTGCACTCATGGCACAAGCTCACTGGTGTGAGGATTCATTGCCACTGTACAAGGTGCTGTGCAGCACCTTAGGGCTACCTGAGTACTGCCATGTTTGCTGCATCAACAGGGGTGCAACTGAGCTGCAACTTGAGCTAGAACTTGAGAGGCTGCAACTCAGGGATGAAAGTACTGCCAGCCAAGTTTGATTGCTGCTGCAACCCTGATTTCTAACTCTGTGACTCCAATGGGTCTACGTCTCTGCTGTGTTAGGATCATCAGAGGTGTCGAGCGGTGTCGAGCGGTGTCGAGCGGTGTCGAGCGGTGTCGAGGGGTGTCGAGGGGTGTCGAGGGGTGTCGAGGTGTCGAGTTTGGCACCTTGACACGGACGAGCATGGTTTCAGCCTAGATGGTGTCGAGGGGTGTCGAGGGGTGTCGAGGGGTGTCGAGTTTGTCGAGTTGGCATGGGTTGTCGAGGTGTCGAGTCGGTGTCGAGGTTTGGTGTCGAGGTGTCGAGGCCAGGGCTCAGAGACAGCATCGATGCCGTCGCCAGACGCGGCGGCGAGGCACACGGGCGCCGGCGTGGCGCGTCGGCAGGCCCACCACGAGCGGATGCGCGACGAGCGCTCGGGAAGCGGCCGCGGGCAACGCGGAGCTTCCGCCGGAGGACGACGCGGTCGAGATGGTGAGCGCCGCCCAGCTGCTGGACAGCGTGGCGGAGGTGGGCCCGAACTACACCCTGCTACGCAGGAAGGAGACGAAGGCGAACGCGGCGGAAGCGCAAGCGCGAGGATGTCAGGGCGGCGCTCAACGGCCACACTGTCCTGCCCACCAGATCGCGCCTCGAGATCTTCTGCGACACCGAGCGGTGGTACCCCGCGACCGTCATGGGGCGGGAGGAGGACGTGGACGGACGGATCGCGCACCAGGTCGAGTACGACGGCTACCCGGATCGGCGGTGGTGGCACATGCTGGACGACGAGCGGTGGCGAGCCGTCCTACGCGCCACCTCCCGCGAGCGCGGCGGGGTCGGAATTGCGGCCGGATACCTGCAAAAACCCAGGTATATAGACGAGGTATACCCGGGTAATACCCGCACTTTTGCATGGCTTCGCCTCCTGGGACCACACCCACAGCCGCTACACTAATCAACACTCCGCATACCACTTTCGCATACCACTATACCATACCACTTCCAAAGTTGATCAAAATATCACCAAATACCGGTCTCATACCGGTAAAGTTCGAGCACACACTGCCTCGTTGTGACGGGGCTGAGAGCCTCTGACAGAGCGGGGCTCTGGCGATGAGAGGCTCTGGGGGCCTGGTGGATGGGGTGGGGGTGCGCCGGATGGCCTGGGGAGCAAGCGCCGAGGGGAGCGATTTCGCTTTCCGGCGCGCTCGCGCACGGCGCGCGGGGCCTTGGGCCAGGTACCAATTTTGTCGAATTTATTTCAAAATCTGCAGGCGCGGAGCGCCTGCGAAAATTTTGAAGAAATTTGCAGTCGGGCCTGATTTTCATCAAGATCTTTCAAATTTGCGGTGTGGAGTTGGGGGGTGGGTTCTAGGTTAGGGTTATTAGGGTTAGAGGGTTAGGGTTAGGGTTAGTTAGGGTTAGGGTTAGGGTCAGGGTTAGTCTGGTTGTGTCTGTATATGCCAGCGTTGCAGGGTTCTGCGCTGGGATCTGGCCCCACAGCGCCGACGACTAAGACTCAGCCCCACACGCTGACCTAGGGTTAGGGTTAGGGTTAGGGTTAGGGTTAGGGTTAGGGTTAGGGTTAGTCTTCTTGTGTTTGTATGCCAGCGTTGCAGAGTTCTGCGCTGGGATCTGGCCCCAGCGCCGACGAGTAAGACTCAGCACCGCACGCTGACCCCACCAAATGCCGCCTCAGGGCGCCAGGCCGCCAGCCACTTCTTACACGCGGCCGGCGCCCTCTCGCGGCAAAAGGGTTTAGCGAGCGGGCAGAGTCGCGATGTCTGCGCACCCGCGTGCCGATGGGCGGCACACGCAACCGAGAGAGGCCCTGTCGCGCCGCCAGTAGCGTTCCGCACTCCCCACGCCACCAATTGCCGCCTCAGGGCGCCAGCCACCTCTTACACGCGGCCGGCGCCCTCTCGCGGCAAAAGGGTCGAGCGAGCGGGCAGAGTCGCGCGATGTCTGCGCACCCGCGTGCCGATGGGCGGCACACGCAACCGAGAGAGGCCCTGTCACGCCGCCAGTAGCGTTCTCCGCACTCCCCACGCCACCAATTGCCGCCTCAGGGCGCCAGCCACCTCCTTACACGATTACACGCGGCCGGCGCCCTCTCGCGGCAAAAGGGTCGAGCGAGCGGGCAGAGTCGCGCACAATGTCTGCGCACCCGCGTGCCGATGGGCGGCACACGCAACCGAGAGAGGCCCTGTCACGCCGCCACAGTAGCGTTCCGCACTCCCCACGCCACCAATTGCCGCCTCAGGGCGCCAGCCACCTCTTACACGCGGCCGGCGCCCTCTCGCGGCAAAAGGGTCGAGCGGGCGGGCAGAGTCGCGCGATGTCTGCGCACCCGCGTGCCGATGGGCGGCACACGCAACCGAGAGAGGCCCTGTCACGCCGCCAGTAGCGTTCCGCACTCCCCACGCCACCAATTGCCGCCTCAGGGCGCCAGCCACCTCTTACACGCGGCCGGCGCCCTCTCGCGGCAAAAGGGTCGAGCGAGCGGGCAGAGTCGCGATGTCCCTGCGCACCTGGGTGTTCGCCGCCTATATGCTCTATCCTGTGCCAAGACGGACACATTTTGACAATCAAAATCTACCTCAAAATTTGCGGCCGCCCCTCGAAATTTGCTGATCAAAATTTGCGGTGGCCCGGATCGAAACCTGTACTTTGGCCAAGCGGGGCCGCGCGGGGGCACGGCGGCGGCGGAAGCGGGGCTGCTTGTGCGGTTGTCGTGTGGCAGGGGTTGAGCTGGGTTTTTGAGAGGGCTCTACGCACACCGGCGCACATGTCTCATTATCTCCAGGAGGTCACTCTTTTGCGCAAATCGCCAGCGAATGTGCGAGAGTGACAACCGCAAGTGCCATCGCCGAGCCCTGCCCGCCTCACGCGGCCAAGCCTCGAGAAGTCACTGCTTTGGCTGTGTGCCCTCAAGTATACATCACCTCTTTCCAAGTCCGCAAAAAGAAGGCTGACGACCACAGCGCACCTGCAAACGCCGCGCCCAAAGAGATCACGGTTGCGCAAAGCCCGAGCGTGCCATCGGTGCTGATGTGGATATCGACGCGTTGATGCACGCTGGGCCATTGGGTTGGCATCGACGTCCACGTTGAGTGCTTGGGGGAGAGCATCTGTACTGGTCCGGATACAGATTACTGATCGGCGTGGCGGTTGCAGGCGCACGGTAGGCGGCGCAAAACGCGTGCGTCCCTTCGGGTGGCAGCCGGCATCGAGGATCCGCCCGAAGTTGTTGCACTGGATCTCGACGCCGCGAGGCTGGACGACGCGACTGCCAATGGAGACGGCCAGCAAAGAAGCAAATCTGGAGGATGGGGCAGAGGTGAAGACAGATGCCGTCAGGACCGACACAGACCCGCCGAAGCCTGGGTGTCTCGCCCGGGCGTCGACTGAGCTAACCACCGCTGATTGGCTCGCAGTCTGGGTCGGCCTGCTCTGCTTTTTGCCTCTTCTGCCGCTCGCTCTGCTCGTGGTCCCAGGTCCTGAGACTGAAGCCGACCCGGTGCGCGTCAAATATTTGCTGCCTCAGCCCATGGACTGGGCCTCGGATCCTTTTGCTTCGTGGGATCAATACAACGCCACCTTGACCTGGCCGCTCCTCGCACTGATGGGCGCGACCTATTGGGTCTACCTGCGCCTGACGGGGAAGCTTGGAAAGACGGCACCGATTAGGTACCTCGTTGGCTTCATCGTGGTGTCCCTGTTGGGCACCGGGTGCCTCTGGCTTGGGCGGTACACGAAGCTCTCATCTTTTGGGGTGTCTTACGCCATCTACGCCATATTCATTGGCATGTTCCTTGGCAATGTTGCCGAGCTGTCGCCGTCGCTCAGCGCGGCGGCTGATAAGTGGCTGCTGCCGGTGGCGAAGGACGGAGAGTTTATGATCAAGATCGCGCTGGTGCTTTACGCGAAGTCCTACGGCGTCATCTGGTCCATCGGCCTCCCTGGCATTATCGTTGGCTGGGTAGGCTCTCCGCTCGCCGTGATGGCGGGCTGGTTCATTGGCACACGGCTGCTGGGGATGGACAATCGCGCTCAGGTCATGCTACTCTCCGTTGGCGCCGCCTGGTGTGGCGCGTCGGGCATGGCGGCGGTGCAGCCCATCGTCGGCGCCACCGGCGACGAGCTCACGCTCTGCATCTCCATCGTCGTCCTATTCACGTTAGCCTTCCAGCTCCTACAGCCGTATTTCGCAATCTGGGCGGACATGGATGACGCTGTCGCCGGCGCGTGGATTGGCGCGTCGGTTGACCAGACCGGCAACGTCCTCGTCTCGGCTGCGATCGTGAGCGACGAGGCAACCGAGGTGGGCGGCGTGGTGAAGATGATCCTGAACGCCGGCCTCGGCTTCATCTGCCTCGGCATCGCAATCTTTTGGTCGCTGGAGGACGCCAAGCGCGCGAGCCGCCAGTCCGCGACGCCGGCCCGCGCCGGCCTAGGCATGCTATGGCAAAAATTTCCCAAATTCGTCTTGGGGTTCCTGCTGCTGTCGCTGATCGTGACGCTGCTGGAAAGCCCTCTCGCGGGCACCGCCGCTGGGGTGGCCATACCACGCGCCTGCTCGAGCCTGAGCACGTGGTGGATGTGCATCGCCTTCATCAACATCGGCATCACCACCTCCTGCAGCAAGCTGTTCAAGGGGGTCACCAGCGGCGGCGGGGCCATCGTGAAGCTCTACCTGCTCGCCAACACGGTGGATATTGCGCTCGGTCTTGGCCTCGCCTACGTGTGCTTTGGCGGCAACAAGGGGGCGGCGTCGGATCCGAGCGCCTCCGCCCGAGGCGGCTTCTCGTACGTGGCTGCAGAGGTGAAGCAAATGTAGGGTGTGTGGTGCTGAACCATAATGTTTAGTGATGCCATTACCGTCTCTACCTCGTCTCTTGCGACTCGCTTGCGCGCGCCGCGGTGTGTCGGGGCACGTCCGGCGAAATACAAAATAGCTCTCTCTCACGCAAGAAACGGGGTAGATATATAGGGGCGGTATATACACACTGCCCTGCCCTGCCCTGCCCTCTGCCCTGCCGTACTGCCCTGCTCCCGCACACTGCCGCACAACTGCCCTGCCCGATCCCCTACCTGCCCCGGGTGTGAAACCCACACTGCCCTGCCCGGCCCAAACACCACACTGCCGAGGTGTGAAAATAACCCCGCCCGCTCGCGAGGTCTCGGAGAAACTTGTAGTCGGCGTATATGCAGGTCTCGAGGGGAGACTTCTCGTCTTCTCCCCCCCGCCCGCGTATGCCTTATGCGGCGCGCGCGCATACACACACACACCGTGACCAGCGCACACACCACACTCCCTCGTTCGTCTGTCCGACCACCGCACTGAATGACACAAGTGCCCCCCTGTCGCGTGTGTCTCGGCCTGTGTGCAGCACACTATAGAGTGTGGCTTGTGCTGTCGTGCAGAGTGCGCGCCGCGCGCGAGGCGGCGCGGGCGGGGGGCGATCGGATTCGTCCCTTGCGGCTTATCTCGCAGATCTCGCGCCGTGGCAAACACCCCCCCGATCACCCAAACAGAAACACCGGCCCCATTGTGAGAGAGGTCAGAGGCTCTAACAGAGGAGTGGAGAGAACAAAAACGAAAATGAACATGCATAAATAGTTTTCACATTGACACATATGTTTATCGAGGTTTTCTCTCCGCCGGGTCGCTCTACACAGGGCCGAGGACAGGAGGACAGCGCAAACTATTGAGACGATATACGACCCGACCCTGCAGCATAAAGCCGTTGCTGCACGCCGCCCCCTTGAAGGAGGAGCTCCGGCTGTGCGCTGTGCTGGGCCGCCTCCGCGGGGGGAAGGTTGTGAGCGGGCGCAGGGGCGTCTAGGCCGCTCACTTCTTTCCAAAGAAGGAGCCGATCGAGCGCATCCCCGCCGAGGCCGGCTTGGCCTAATCAGCCACACGCGGGTGTGAAGAGGCGCCTCACCGCCACGCCGCCAGCGAAGCCGGCGAGGGCCTTGGCGCCGCCGCCGCCCTTCTTCCCCTTCTTCGGCGCCGCCTCCTCCGAGTCCGAATCGCCGCCTGCTCGCAGCCGGAGGCGTGAAGAGACGCTGTGCGCAGCCACCGCAGCCATGAGACACAGCAGGCGCCGTCTGTCGGCGCCGCCGCGCGCTTCTTCTGCTTGGGTGCCGCCGCCGCGGGCTTGCCGCCCGCCTTTGCGCCTCCCAGCATGCGCGGTGCCGCAGGCCGCAGCTGCTCCTCCGCCACCTGCGCGGGCGGCTCCCGTGGGTGAGGGTGAGGGAGAGGGAGAGGGTGAGGGTGAGGGAGAGGGTGAGGGTGAGGGTGAGGGAGAGGGAGAGAGGGTGAGGGAGAGGGAGAGGGTGAGGGTGAGGGAGAGGGAGAGGGTGAGGGTGAGGGTGAGGGTGAGGGAGAGGGAGAGGGTGAGGGAGAGGGTGAGGGTGAGGCTGAGGGTGAGGGAGAGGGAGAGGGTGAGGGAGAGGGTGAGGGTGAGGGTGAGGGTGAGGGAGAGGGAGAGGTAGAGGGTGAGGGAGAGGGAGAGGGTGACGGAGATGTTGAGGCGTGAGGGTGAGGGTGAGGGAGAGGGAGAGGGTGAGGGAGAGGGTGA